GATTTTGCAGAACATGGCAGAGTTTTTGCCTCTTTCACAAGAAATATGTAATTGAATGATGAGTCCCTCATGTTAGATTTTCAACCTTATTTCTTTTGGTTTAACAAGGCAGAGTTATGAACAGCTGCACCCAGAGGCAGCTACTATCAAGCTAGTGCAGATCTGGCGTTAGCACCTAGGAGCTGAGCTACCACTTTTAGATCTGCAGCTCTGCTCTCAGGCTGCAATGTTCGGGAGTGTGGAGGCATGAAAAGGGAATGATTTGGCTCAAGATGTTTAATCCTGCCTTGCATTCTTGACTGAAATCTTTTACAATTAGAATGGCTCCAGTTAATGTTTGGCTGGACGCATTTGCACATATCTAAGTTTGATGGGTCCTCACCACTCCCCTTGAACAAATGGTGAAAAAGAGAGAGGCTTTAAATGCAAATCCACATACTAAAAGATGGTTATATCCTACCAAAGGCCACTACTTGCAGTTAGGTGGATAATGTCACGGTTCTTGTGCAAGTGTCAACAATGAATTCATGGTAGAAATCAATGAGTTATGATGAAAAGGTGAATGACTTTTTGGCTCCATTGAGGATCTGACTGGCCACAGGCCCCTTTTCAGTCATCCCCAAAAATCCACCCCCCCACCTCTCTCATCACTCCCTCACTTCAATTCTTAAGGGAAGCAGCATTGAAAAAGACATTAGGAGAAAAGAAGGGAAGAGAATGGCAAAGTACATTCTTAATTTTGTGACCTTAGGCAAACTTTTAAACTTCTTAGACCTCAATTGTCTTATCCTTTAAAATGGTGCTAGCAACACTTACCTCTCAGAGTTATGAGGATTAACTGCACTTATCTATATATATAAAAGCCAAGTGACCAGAACGCTGGAATGACTGGAACAACCAGAATGACTGTTCGCTATGACGCACACCGTGGCGGCCAATTAGCCCAATGAGGGCCCCGATTGGCCTCTCCCAACCTCCCTTCCCCCGGCTGGCCCGGCCCCCATTCGGCCCCCCCACCCTGATTGGGGGCAGGGCTGGCCAACCTCCCTCATCCCCTCCCCCATGGCCCAGCCTGATCGGCCCCCATTGGAGCGGGCCGGCTGGACCCTACCCATGCATGAATTTGTGCACCGGACTTCTAGTGTATAATAAGAACATAAAAAGGCCCCTGGAACTTAGCAGTGGTGAACTTAGCAAGAAAAAAGGTCTTGCTACCCTTTAGAGAGAAAGGTTCTGACCAGATTCCCATGCTCCCAGCATAACCCTTGTAGAGATGAAATGCAAGGCCTAATTCTACCCTCGGACCCTCCTGTCTTTTGTTTCCCCCTTGCAGCTGGTTGATTGCTGTACAGTTGCCCAATCCTGCCTAGAAAGCCATATGTATTTAATGTGAATAGTAATCACTGTGACTCATACCAGAAGAAAATGGCCATTTCTACACCAACTAGTTAAATGTTTATATGAATAATGAGACAAGTCATCGACAGGCTCAATGAACAGATTGCCTAGTTGACAGGAGAATTCTTGTGATGTTTTAATTTCATGTGGCAAACACTATGGACATTTATTAAGATCTGATTTAAAACATTGATTTATTTGTGAGGGGTATTTGCTTTTAATTACTTTTCTTTTAACACTTGGAATTCGCTTAAAATTTGCATGCAAGGTAAGCAAAACATAGCCTACTGTGTTTTAAAGTTGAGGAACCTTTGGCCAGAGTATACAGGCTACATTATTCCACTGAAGTTTATTACAGCTGAAGGTCTGGTTATAATAGCCCCTTAGCTCCCCAGAGTAGTAGATGAAATACTTTGATGGGATGAAAGCCACAGCAGCCCTCTCATATTCTGCTCAAAATATCTCCTGTATGCCCCCATATTCCTCCTTCCAAGGTACTACCCTGGGTACCCAAGAAAAGTTCCTATGCAGAAATACTATTCTGTGTCTTCAATTTGACATGAGAATGGGGGTGGTGTGGGGCTGATGGCAAAGGATAAAATGTTCCCTTTCCTATTTATAACCTAAGCCATGCAATGTGTCAGGACTTTAGCATGATTTATTTTTTCATTTAATTCTCTTAATAACCCTATGAGATGATAAGTGCTACTGATATCAGTAAGGTCTTATTAATATCACTAATATTAATATATTAATATACCCATTCTAGGCATATTGTTAGTGACATCCCATTTTATAGATGAGGAAATTGAGGCATTGAGAGTATGAGTGTCTGGTGTAAGGTGGCAAGATTCTATCCCAGGCAGTCTAATTCTTGAGCCAGTGCTTTTAATTACTATACTATATTGTGTGTATGTGCGTGTGTGTGTGTGTGTGGTGCTCACTAATACATGCACACATACATGGGTGCATATAATGGTGGTGGGGAATGAGAATGGGTCCATTTAAAAATATTTTTGAAAGAAATAACTATGTGCTTTCTATTTTAATGAATAGTTCTTTCCCACTCTTCTGGGTAGATCTTATCTGGGTAACTGTAGTGTGCTGCTGGTGCTACTGTAATTTAGTAATTCTATTAGATGTGGTTCTTATTCTTGAGGGACTTCCCATAAGTGGGGGAGACAAGGTAATAAATGTAGGTTTGATACTGATGGTTGTGACTCTAGCCTGTGCTGATGGTGTGTGGGACACAATCTCTTTGAGAAGTCTGCATCTATTGACCTGACTGCTATGAAAAATGATCCTGGGCCTTGGGGTAAGGTAATAAGTGAGACCAGGGCATAAAGCACAGCCCTTACAGTCATCTATGATGGAGTTTAAAATGATCCCTAACATCTGTATCTCTCCTAACAAATCACACAGCTGCTTTGTGAATTATTTGCCATGTCTGGGCAGGAGGAGGTGGGGAGAGGAGAGGAGGGTTTATTTATAAGGGCATAACTATTGTAATAGGCAAAAACTCTAGTTTCTTTCATGGTGTTTATTCTCATGAGTCTAGCGTTTCTGACAGCTTACCAGATATAAAAGAGAGATGCAAATCCACATTCCTTTAAAAGTAAAATCTTTGCACAAGATACAAACTAAGAAACATTTAAAAATATGTTTAGCTTACTACCTTATAGTCAAAATAGTCCCAAATATTCAACTATCTTAGCATAGGCATTTTCACTGTTGTATGGATATGTGATTTAAAAATAAAATAGAAAAATGCTCACAAAATAGTTTACGGAATTACCCAGTCTATGTAGGATTTAGAAATTTTAAATTTATTTATGAGGAATAAAAGTAAATCCAAGATACTCCTGCCCAAAGTGGAAGCTCTCTGGCAGGAGATGAGGGGGAGAGTCTGGCTCCGTTTCAGTCATGTACTACATTTGACCTTGGAGGAGCTTAGTTATGCCTTGGGGCAAAAAATTAAATGTTCCATTTTGCAGCAGTATCATCTTTCACCTTTATGTGGATTTAAAAATGTAAATAAAATTGCTTTCTGTAAATGGTCTACATGAAGGTCATATTCATAGTCTCTGCAAGAATTCAAAATGCCATTTGACCCATCATTGGCTCAATAGATAATAATGTTTTCTATTAGTTTCTAGTAATCTACTTTTTAAGCATTTTATGACTCAATATTTTTATGCCTAGTTCCTAGTTTGTGAAATAGGAAATCAGAAATAAACCTTTTAGCACTTCATTGTAGGTTTATTTATAGAATATGTGCCTTCAACTTTGAACTTTTAAAAATGTCAAATCTTTCCAGAAAGCATTTCCTTTGTAATAAAATTGATTTGGCTGAATATATGCAATGAGAGAAGAATGTGCTTTTGAAAAATTTTGAGGGCTCAAGCTTATTTCAATTATCATCTGTTTTTATTTTGCTTATTATTTTCCTTGTAGATAAGTCAGGAAACAGGATTTGGGGACCCTGATAGCAGAGTGCAAGTAATGAATGTAGAACTGCGGAGAGAGAGAGAGAGAGAGAGAGAGAGAGAGAGAGAGAGAGAGAGAGAGACTAAATTCCTTTCATTGGAATTTGGATAATAAAACCCTGATAGATTTTTGTGTTTAATTGTCATATTTTGATGGTTAATGACTTTTGATTGTTCTTCTGGAGGCACCCGTCAGCCGTTTCCAAATCACAGATGGCTTTACCAGCCTCAGTAGGAGTTTCTTTTCCTTACTAACCTTGAGCTGAACCAATTATAGTGGGGTAAATGAGCAGACCAATGTCATTCCAAGTTTTTCTGTCTTTGGGAGATTATTTGGTTTGTTGAATAATGAGTTGAGATCATTGGTTTCAAAAGTTTCAAGTTTTGTTTTTATTGTAAAGAGTATTAGTCCTCTCTCTGAGTAGATATATAATGAATATTCAGTGACCAAGGCCATAAACTAAGATGATAATATACTCTCCTTCACTTGGACTTTCTGTTTTATGCCTATTGTCTATATCAAACGTGCCTTCTTCTATTTTCAAATAAATTATATACTCATCTTACATATGACTCACTGTTCAACTGGCTGATGAGAAAGGCTGATTATAAGCCTTTATGAAAGGCTTATGGTTATGAATGATTGTGACATAGGCGAGAAGAGCATTCTCATCTCTATTTTATGCTTCCTTTCTCATGAGGCATTCAGGGTACTCATACACTTGGATAACCAGGGTCCACTCTCATGATGTGCTTTGTGGAATATAACCCATACTCTCTTTTATAAAAATATGGTAAAAATTTTTATTAACTATTGTGCATTACACAGTCATGGGAAAAGCTGGTAAGAGAAGAATGACTGATTAGCCACCCACAGGTTTTGCAGCGTGGCATCAGTTTGGTGGAATTGCTTTGGTCCAGGGCCCAGAAACTGAACTTTGCCAGTGCTTCCTGAGTTAACACTGAGAAATAGACTCACTCTAATCAGAATATCATTTTGAAAATGCCCTTTTCTTATGAGAAAAATATCTGAAACACTATTTAGAGCACATTCCTTCAATATGGTAACTCTGGGGAGTCCAATTGGTAATCAAAGTATATTTCTTAAGAGGCCATGGCGGAACACAAAGTGGAGTTGAAGGTTCCTTTTATCTGTTTCATGTCTTCCTATCCTTGAGAGCACGTATCCCTTTGCTTACTTCTCTGAATTCCTGTTTTCTATGCAGACAAACACCTTTTATCTGTTTCATGTCTTCCTATCCTTGAGAGCATGTATCCCTTTGCTTCTCTGAATTCCTGTTTTCTATGCAGACAAACCCATTTGTTGTTGTTGTTGTTTTTAATATTCTTTCTTTAAATGTGTTACTATCACTGATGCAACTTCAAACAGCTTTTCCTGTGAACATATTTTTGTTGACTTTATTAAATCCCCTCAAGGTTGTTTTTGTTCTTATAATATCTTGGTTCTTGTTGGGCTGGGACCTCATCCATACCCTTAGCTCTACCATGCTTTCCATCTCTTTTATATAGGGCTCTGGAAGGCCTTTAGACTAGGAAAATGAACATATGATGTTGATTTAATAGCTTTCTTTCATATCTCAACTCAGGGGTTATTCATGAAGTGTGATTCAAGCAGTTACATAGGCTCCTAAGCAAAGCCATTTTGTGTGTGGTGACGAGAAAGCATTTTCCATGCCTCTGTTCAAATGCTTGACCCTTTAAAAATTATTATTATTATTGGTGTTATTATTTTACAGTAGACATCCTGTAGACATGTCTTGGTTTCTCTAACTTTCTTGAGATTATAGAAGTTGGTGCCTGATAAGGCATTCAAACGAGTAGTGGGGGGAGAGTGAGTTGCTGTGGGATTGGCACTAGAGCCATTTGACAAATTCTCCTCTTAGTTGCAAATGCTCTTGTAAAAATTAACTGGATCCTGCTCAATATGAAGCATCAATGCAGACAGCTCCTTCTGAAAGCTCAGGAGATGAATGCGCAGCCTACATTGCCTTTCTGGGAAAACTCATGAGGAATCGTTCCCTAGGAATCTGATTTATGCAGGTGTCTGGCAAGGATAGAGTTTTAAAAAAATTATTTTTATTTTTAATTGTGAGAAAATATACATAACATAAAACGTATAACATAACACAACATAACATAAATCTTATCCATGGCATAAATCTTATCTTAAGTGTACAGTTCAGTAGTGTTAAGTACATTAAAGTTGTTGTGCAACCAATTCCCAGAACTCTCTTCATCTTGTAAAACTGAAACTCTAAACCCATTAAAAAGCATCTCCCTATTCCCCCTTCCTCCATCTCCTGGCAACAACCATTCTACTTTGTCTATGAAATTTAAAAAAATATATTTTTATTGATTCAGAGAGGAAGGGAGAGGGAGAGAGAGATAGAAACATCAATGATGAGAGAGAATCATTGATTGGCTGCCTCCTGGATGCCCCACACTGGGGATCGGGCCTGCAACCAGGCATATGACCTTGACAGGAATTGAACCTGGGACCCTTCAGTCTGCAGACCGATGCTTTATCCACTGAGCCAAACCAGCTAGGGCTATGTCTATGAAATGTGACTGTTCTAGATACCTCATATAAGTGGAATCATATAGTATATGTCCTTTTGTGACTGGCTTATTTCTCTTAGAACAATGTCCTCAAGGTTCATCTATGATATAACATGTCAGAATTTCCTTTTTAAAAAATATATATATTTTATTGATTTTTCACAGAGCGGAAGGGAGAGGGATAGAGAGTTAGAAACATCAATGAGAGAGGAACATCGATCAGCTGCCTCCTGCACACCTCCTACTGGGGATGTGCCTGCAACCAAGGTACATGCCCTTGGCCGGAATCGAACCTGGGACCTTTCAGTCCACAGGCCAACGCTCTACCCACTGAGCCAAACTGGTTAGAGCGCAGAATTTCCTTTTTTTAACTAACTTTTTTTTAATATGGCTATATTTGTCAATCTTTTTATAGTCTGTTGAATTGGAGTCATAGTGGTAGTTAGCAAACTTTAGCCTATACCCAGTTAATAAAGAAATTCATCCTTTTTTTGGGCACATATGTGGCATATTTTTTCACATTCATAACCCTGATCCATTTGGAATTTATATATTGTATATCGTATAAAATGTTAGTCTAATTTTATTGTTGTAAATGGCTAAACAGACATTCTAGCATCATTTGTTTTAAATCCCACACTTGCTGCAGTGATTTGAGATGACTCTCTTCTCCTATACTAAATATCCTCCCATCTGTTCCTGTTCCATTGTTCAGTTGTCCCTGTATGTAACAGTACCACACTGTGTTAATTTTAAAGGCAGTCTAGCTTTATTTAATATCTGTTGGAGCTGGTCCCCTCTCAGAGCTATCACCCAGCTTAATTTAAATATAATTGATATATAACATTATGCAAGTTTAAAGTGTACAATGTGATGATTTGATATATTGGGAAATATTTACCACAATAAGATTAATTAACACACCTATCACTTCACATAATTACCATTTCCTTGCTGTTGCGATGGTGAGAACATTAAAGCTCTACTTTCTTAGTGACTTTCAGGCATACAATACAATATTTTAAACTGTAGTCACATGTGTACATTAGATCCCCAGAACTTCCTAATTTTACAACTGAAAGTTTGTACCCTTTGATCAATATCTTTCCCACCCCTTAGTCCCTGGCAACAACCATTCTACTCTCTGTTTCTTGAGTTTGATGTTCTGAAACTTCACAGATCAGTGAGATCATACAGTATTTGTCTTTACCTGTCTGACTTATTTCACTCAGCATAAGGCCCTTGAAGTCCATCCATGCCATTGCAAATGGCAGGATTTTCTTCTTTTTTTATGGCAGAATAATACTCCCATTATATATATGTCACATTCTCCTTATCTGTTCATCCACTGATAGACACTTAGGTTGTTTCCGTATCTTGGTTATTGTAAATAATGCTGTAATAAATATAGGGCTGCAAATATCTTTTCAAGTTAGTGTTTCATGTCTTTCAGATATGTACCCAGAAGTGGGATTGCTGGATCATGTGATAATTTTACCTTTAATTTTTCGAGGAACTACCATACTATTTTTTATAGTGGTTGTACCAATTTATATTCTCACCAACAGTGAACCATGGCTCCCCTTTTTCCATATCCTCATGAGCATTTATCTCTTTTTTTTGATACTAGCTATTCAAACATGTGTGAGGTGATTTTGATTTACATTTATCTGATGATTAGTGATAGTGAACACCTTTTCATGTACCTGTTAGCCATTTGTATGTCTTCTTTGGGAAAATGTCTATCTAAGTCCTCTGCTAATTTAAAAATTAGATTTTTCTTTTGCTATTGAGTTGTATGAGTTCCTTGTATATTTTGAATATTCACCCCTTATCTGATATATGGTTTGTAAACATATTCTTCCATTCCATAGATTGCCTTTCATTTTTTGATGGTTTCTTTTGCTGTGCAGAAGCTTTTCAATTCAGTGTAGTCCCACTTGTTGATTTTTGCTTTTGTTCCTTGTGATTTGGTGTCATATACAAAACATCATTGCCAAGGCCAGTGCTGAGAAGGAAGAAAAAAGTTATTATACCATGCCAGGAATTTTTCTCCAGCCTGGAATCTGGAATGGACTAAAAGATAGAAAAAATATATTTATTTTCAAATATATTTTTTCTTTCTATAGAGTTAGAGAGAGAGAGAGAGAGAGAGAGAGAGAGAAAGAAGGAAGAGGAGGACGACGAGGAGGAGGAGAGGGAGAGAAAAACATTTAGTATTTTCATCTATTCTGTATTTAGAAAATGTTATAATAAAATATTACCTTTCCAATGAGCTGAACAGTTGACACGAGCTCCTGCCTTCTTAGTCACTCAACATCTGAAAGTGATTCTAAATATTTTAATCAGCAGGAAGGAGACCAAAGGGAAAAAACACACCCCAAAGACCAAAAACAAACCATGTGCAAACATCAAATATTTATGGAAATGTCTCATTGGTTTTGAAGATGGCTATATGTTCCAAACAGGGCATTCTGCAGTGAGGTTGATTTTCTAAGTATATAAATGGGCAAATATGCTCTTAAAAATGAGCCATAAAGAACCATTCGCTTTAAGAAATTCAATGTTTTATTGATTAAACTTTCTTAGGTGAGGAATTTCTGAATTGTGTACGTTATAATTGTTCTGAAGACTATCTTGATATTGGTAATAGTGAGTTCCAAAAGGGAATGACTTTTCTAACATATGCCTTATACATAATTTTGAAAGAAAAAGTCAGAGGACTGCCTTTGGAACATGGCAGATTGCCAGTGAACAATGAGATCTGACTGAAATAATAGGTGATTTTCTATGTCTTAGGTGTTTAGAGTTTAGAGAGGATGATCAATTTTAACCACTACACGTTCTGGGACAAAGCATTTCCTCTGCATTGTGCATCACATTTCCTTCGCAACACAATTCTTCATCTTTGCCCAGCTCTTAGTTCTTTTCCACATTTGGCGTCTAACGACTGGGGAAGTGGTAGAATTAGGACCATTCATGGAGGAGAATGGAGAAGATCCTCTGATGATGTGTTTTGGTCACTAGCTCCTTTTTCTGACCCCTACTCTACTTCTCCTCACTCTATCTAGGATATACTCAAAATTAAGAATGAATGCAAAGGGTTGCATTTAAAAAAGAAAATGTGGTCCTAGAGAAACATTGCCGATTCATGGTAAGGGTAGAAAGGATGAGCCAATGTTCCTAGCAATCAGCGTTCATTGGAATCCCAATATGCAAACCAGAGTTCACGTTGCTAATGAGCAATATAATACTTTTTGTCAATCATGAATTTCTCTATTCTTGGGGATTATTACAGCTAGACAGTCATCTTTCCTAAGAGCCACTGCATTTTATTTATGTGCTCATGGTAAGTTGTGTTTCAGCGACAGAAAATGGAGATATGAAGAGAGTGTATAGAAGTCTTTTTCCCCCCCTTTGGTAAATGCAAAAGACGGGACATTTAAAAAAATAGAAATCTCACTTATGCTGCTAATTTTATCATTTGAGTTGCCATGCACTATGCAGTGAGTGAATCATGGACCACAAGGCTGGGCGTTTGTGTCTCAAATGATCAGAGGTAAGCTTGCAATGGTATGTGCCATGCCATTACTTTCCATAAGACTCCACATGAATCAATGAATTATTCCATGAACTATATTGTTAGTTCTCTTATATGTAAACTTAACAAAAGGGGATAACGCTGCGTTTGCAGAACTGTAGAATAAGGCTGAAAAGAAAATAAATTGGCTCAAATTAAAGATCAACTTGTGGCCACTTTAAAAGACTAATCCTGAGACTTCAATCAGCTGGCATAATATTCCATGCATGAAGAAAATTGATGTACAGTATATTGTGTCTTGGTGAGTAATCTCTGGCCCTATTTTTCTTTGTGGTGCCATTGAAAAAGGAAATGAGTGGATCTTTTAATGGAAATCAGGGCTGTTAAGCTTTAGCAGAAGGGTGAAAGGTAAAGCTTTATTTCCAGGCCAGGGCATTTGTGCTCACAATGAGAACAGACTTCCCTTTTTTCTGTACACCATCTGCACAGCCTTGTGGCCTGGGTTGCCATTTACTGTCTGGAGAGAATGGCACTTCCCAGAAAGGATCAGAATGTGAGCAATGTTCCAGCCCAGGATTTTAACATTCACAAGCCGTTTGTGAGCACACGATGGGAGGAAATTGCCTGATGCTTATCAGCGTCCACTTTTTGTCACTTCTCCCAAAAGTATTTGGGCCAATATTCAATATCAGATGGTGTTGGAAGCCATAACCTATAAAATATTAAGTGGTTTGTTACAATGCATATTGGTGTGCCTTTTATTCATTCAAACCAAATATGAGATGCAGGTTGTTTTTTTTTTCATTTGTCCCAAGAGCTATTTTTTTGCTAGTTGTTGATTTGCTGACCCCTACAAAACAGGACGATTCTTTGAAATGGTACCCACCACTCTTGTGAAGTCATCAGGAATTTTCCTAGATGTAACTTCTGCTCTGAAATGGGAAGGAGGGAAACTGGGTGTTGGTAAGTTATTGTATAAGTGTGAAGCTGAGGCACAGGCTAGTTAAATATCTTACCTGGGTTACACATGTTGGAGTTAGAATGCTACTGATTTTTATTTTGCCATGAAGGGAAATTAAGAGCCACATAATTTCCTACTATTTTTACCACTTTCTGTAAACATAGGGGTGAAAGCCTAATATATTTACTTAGGAGGATCTCACTGAAACCTATGTTTTTAAGGGAGATAAAGAATTCAGTTCATCCTGTTGGTAGTTGATTAACTCATTGATCTCTGATTTGGGAATAATAAAGAATGAGTAATTGTTGTGATAGTTCATCATTATTTCTTAATGCCAAGGTTGCTTTAGCTTGAGCAGTTTCATGAAATAATCTGCCCATCTCTTTAGAATTCACAGAGGCTGTGGGACCTTGAGTCTGGTCCAAGTGGCTGTGTTGCTCAGCATTGTGACAAAAATGATAAATGGAGAAGCAGGTTCAAGGAAACAAAGGTCTTATTGGAATGGCATCTGCTTCTCTTCCAGGCCAGACATGGCATTCCAGGGGTCAGTGAATCATGGTGGAAGAGGAATTCGACAGGCTTGCAAGCATAACTTTTGTTCTGGTCTATTTGATTTTGAGCAGAAAACCCAACAAAAATAAAAGTAGTTGATTTTTCCAAACAAATTCACAGTTATATTAAATTAGCTTCAAAAGGAAACCAATTTTTGTCTTTATGAGACATAATATAAGTCATGGTTGTCCTTTTATATCTATTCACTTATTAAGGTTCAGCTTGGTGAAAGCAACCTTTTTCTTTTGATTTGTATCCTCAATTTATTTATCTGCCAATGATTTCTAACTCTTAGTTCACACCACTCTCCCTATCACTGTCTACAAAAAGCTCTCTCTCAAACAATATTAAGTTGTCAAAATGGTGGCACATTATCTTACGTATACTTCCAAACACTGCTGATGGACCAGACGAAGGAACTAGAGACAGGGATAAGAAAATAATTTTGCTAAAAATTTTTGGGGAAAAGAGGGTCCTAAATAAGATGACAGGAGAAAATTTGACTTTGAGTAGTGGGCACATGGTGCAATATACAGATTTTGTAACATAGAAACCCTCACCTAAAACCTATATGTCCATGTTGACCAATCTTATCCCAGTCAATTTAATAAAAAAAGAATTTGGGGTTAAGCAATTGGAAGACAGGAGTTGGGGGCCATTATAAAGCCCCTATTAATGTGTATCATTGTAATGCAAAAATAAAGCTAATCATTTCTGAAAGCTGTACTGGAATTACTAAACTACACCTATTAGTATCATTCAGAATCTGTGGAGAATATGATTAACAAAGAAAAACTAACAAGATACGAGTTAAGAATATGATAGTTCTGCCGCTAAATTTCTCCAGTGCTAATTGTGACATAATAAATAGATAATTTACTTTGTATTTGTTGTTTAGGCTAGGAACATAAATGTCATGAATAATATTATATTCTCAGGAAACTACATTAATGTAAAATTACAAATATTTAAATAGAAAAATAATGCAACATTTTAATTAATATTTTCCCTTACTTTGAGTTTTTTTAAATTAAATTTATTGGGGTGACATTGATCAATATGATCATATGAGGTTTAGGTGTGGGTTTGTATGTTACAAGATCTGTATATTGCAGTGTGTGCCCACTACCCAAAGTCAAATCTTCTCCTGGCACCATATATTAAGGCCCCCTTCTTCCCCTACCCCCTTCCTTCTGGCAGTTACCACACTGCCGTTTGTGTTCACGAGTTTCAATTTTCTATCTGACATATGAGTGAAATGATATGATTCTTAGCTGTTTCTGACTTACTTCACTTAGGATAATATTCTCAAGTTAATATTTTATATAATTACACAATATTATAGAACATTCATCTATATATACTTTAAAATATTTTTCCAGCATAGTCTTTTATTATCTCTTCATATAACCACAGATTTAACACATCATTTTCTATAGGGTCAATATAAAGATAATTTGGTCTTTCTCTAGTTTAGTTAATCAAATCTTATTTTTTATACTTGAGAATTTAGAATAATTTTGTTTGCTTATAAACATCAGAGGTTTTAAGTTCCCCTATGATGTAATAAAATAGTTTGACATAAAAAACCCCCACATTGTGGGAGCTATGGGTTTCTTGCATTTTAAGTGGTATTTTCAAACTCTTCAGTTATGGAAGAGGCATTACTTCTTGGCATTACTACTTAATTTAATTTCTAGTGGGAATAAAGAAATACTCTTTACTGTGCAACCATTGTACAACAGTTGGCAACTGATGCGAATGAAACAAATATCTACTTCTCTGGTCTAAGTCGTTTAATTTTCTTAGGCAGTTCTAGAGCCTCTTCTTAAATGGGGGAAAGAAACAACCGACAGGTGCAACCTGTGACTGGTATATGCTGAATCAGAATTGGTACCCCGATGGAGAGAGCATTTGTCAAGCTAGGCAGTTTAGAGTCAGGGAGCCCATGACAGCTTGGCATAGAGGCCCGCATTCTTAGCATAGTTGAGAAATGGAGGGTCTAGTCACACACCACATTTTGTATTGGTAGGGTGCTTTTTATTGCCTTAATTCTCACCAAGTTTTTCTTTAGAAACAACAACAACAACAACACAGTTGAAAGGAGCCTCAGAAGGCAGGCAAACAATTTCATTGGTCCATTAGGTCTCATAGCTGCTGGCACTCTCCCCCATTGCTCATACTTGAGATTTCCTCAGCATTTCTTCAGATTGAGCTCTCAGTGAGGGGCCATATGAAGTACTCCCATATCTATCCCTTGCTTCTCAGCCTTCTGGCAAACACTAGGTGCAGCCTATTTCCAACACTCCCCACAGTGTGTGTGTGTGTGTGTGTGTGTGTGTGTGTCTGAAGACTAAGATAGGGATTTCTATCATCTTTGTTGCCATTGATTAGAATTTTAGAGCTATAAATTATTCAGACCAATTCCAGTTCACTTACTTGCTTAAATTCAGACAACTAGTCCAAGACCTCAGCCAGGTTCTAGAGCAATTCTTAATGATGTTATACTAAATGTTTTTATTTAATTATTTGAGGCCTATTTTAATTGAATTTATATATGCTGGCCCACAAAAATAATATAGTGGTCCTAATGAACTGATGTCTAAAACGATTTCTCTTTTTCCTTCATGGTCTGTAGGACTGTGCTGATGTGAAAAGATGAAGGTGTTCCAGAGAACATGCAGAATCTTTTATTTTTAGGTTTATTGAGCAGTGGAGAGAGGACCAGATGAGTAACTGAAGACCTAATTCTGATTCTCTCGGTCTTGGGCAAGCCTTAGAATTTAGAGCTTGAAATGCACTAACTTACACTAGCCCCTCATTTTAATGCTAAGGAAAACGAGCTGAAGAATAAAGTGACTAGTTCAGGAACATAGCTAGTTACAGGAGGAATAAGTAATAGAATCCTAAACTCCTGACATCAAATCCTCAATATTTCTCCCACACTAAACTGTTCTCAAGCTTACTCAGCTTCCCCAAGTCTCTGTGAAATGATGATATTTAACAGGGTTGGTGAAAAGAATAAGATGTAATAAATGAGAGAGAGAGAGTTGTTATAATAATTTAGTGGAGTAGAAATTATGAGTGAAACATTGCAAATTTAGCAGGTTGAAGTAATCTTGATGGAAGGGACCAGTTTATACTCCTTTTGAAAAGACACTTTCTGGCCTGGGAATGGAATTTGGGGATAATTTTGAGAAGGAGCAAATGATTCCCATTTTTTCTTAAATTAAATTTATAAATTGATTGTCTTTGGGAGATTCTTATCCATAAACTGATAATCACACAAAACAGCGTCCTTTCCATATACTAGCTTTTTTATGCTGATTCTCCCCCTCCCCCCTCAACAGAAGAATTTAACTTAATGAACATCTTGGGTTGTCTCTGAGGTCTAATAATTTAATGCTTATCTAACAATTTTACTATTTTTTAGGCAAAGTGGTTAATGAGGACATAAAATTACTTATTTTTACCTGAATTCTAGATGAAATGATATGATGGAAGGATGATTAATTTTATCATGTGGAGACATTACTGGATTTTCCAAATTAAAGCGAAATACCCTTCACAGATTGGAGATGTGACAAACCGATTAATATTCCATTAATTTAACTATATTTAGGCAGAATCATGGACTTTTGTTATAAAACACAAAATTAATCAAATTGCCAAATAGTTTAATTACAGTTTCAGCAATAGTGAAAACAACTTTGAGTGCCAGAGTTTTGAAATGTTAAACTGCATTTTTAGGAAAATGTGTAGTCGTGCACTTCCCTGCCATCTTCTTCCTTCTAGAAATATTAATGCAAATGTGGGCAGTACTTCCCCCTACTAATGCCTTCAGCTTTGATTCCAGTTTTTAAACCTGTCCACTGTGGGTTCTAATGGCTGGAAGAAACTGTGAGATTAGGGAGTAAAAATATCCAAATAGAGTGGAAAAGGTAAGGGAAATTTAAGGGGAAAGAGTAAGGATGGGTAGTAGATACAAATCCCATTATGAAGTTTATGTCTGTGAAGAGAATGACAGACAGCAATATAGAGCTAGATAGGCAATACATATTTCTTGCATGAATGAATTCGTGAATGAATGATATAGTGCGGAAGATCCCTTGAAAATGAAAGCAACCATGAGTATATAAAGTATGGAAGCCTAGCCAGACTGAGCTATGCCATATGACCCACAGAGTTTAATAAAATGAATGGCTTCCCTTAGGATTACAGTTAAGTGTGTAACCGTTCTTGTTTTTCTTGTTAGGTCCTCTGTTACTTTTGTTCAGATCAGTAGATCAAAAGTTTATTTGCATGTAAGAGGAACTTAACAAATATCTTATTTACAAATATAAGAAGGAATATAAGAATGATATATCATTTTTGTACCCAGCCTAAATTTTTGAAGTTAAAATTTAATTAATTTCATTTATCATTTCTCAGTTTGCTTCTCTGTTCTTTTTTATTTATTCTCCCTAATGGCCACAGACTTCCCATTCCAAAGGAAGATGAAGGTAAAGAGAAACTCTATACCTTTTCTTGTCCATCCAGTTGTTGTTTTGATCTAGTTCTATTAAGAATCGATATTTAAAAAGTCAAGCAGTAGTGTGCAAATCGAGGTGTTTGAGCCTTGATAGCAAAATCGGTTCCTCTTTGCATGACATTTTGCCTAGGAGTTTCCTAAAGCAGATCTGTTCCATTAGTAATAGAAGGGGATCAACAGGCATCAACCTTGCATTGACCATTGGACATGCCTAGCACTGATCTTTCCAGATGAAAGTTTTGAATGGATTTTGCTTCTCATACTTAAGGCTGTTTTTTTGTTTGTTTGTTTGTTTGTTTGTTTTGACTCCTGGCATAATGGGAAGTGGAAAGCAAAACAGCATGAGTTTGAACCAGACATTCTCGAATTTGTGTCTCAGCACTTTTTTTTTCTCTGTGTCTGGAACATTTCAATATTAGGTATTAAAAATGACTGGCTTATACTGTGGACAGAGTACTGAAATTAGTAAAAATGTTGCTATTGTCTATTTAGAGGCCTGAGAAAAACACAAAAATCTGAGAGTTACTTGGAGATAAGCTCAGCATTAGGTTGCTGAGAGAAGAACATTTGGAGAGTGGACTCTGTTCCCCAGCATTTACTGTCTAAATGTTCAATTTTCAGTTCTTCATCCTTCCTCCCTCACATGACATGATCAGGAAGAAGTGCCAGTTGGCACAAATCCCTTTCTTACTCTCCAGTTCTCTCTCTCTCTCTCTCTCTCTCTCTCTCTCTCTCCAGTTGAATAAAGAGTAACTGAGTAACTTAGGTACTACCAGGTTCTAACGGAGAGGAAGAAAAATAGAAAAGGCAAATGAAAATAATTAAGGAGCCTAGAAGACAAAGGAAGACCTTGTACACACCTACAAGGTCCATCATTAATTTGAAATAGATAGTATATAGGTCATTGAATTTCCCCCATCTAAATAGCTTTATTTATTTTTGCTAACTTTGAGAGTAACACAGTCTCTCTCTTTCTCTCTCTCCCTCCCTCCTCTTTTCTTCTCTCTCTCATGCTTTCATGTGCA